TGATACAGAGAGTGGATGGTCCATAAAGTACCTAATAAACTGTGGACACTACACAAATAATGAATGAATGCAGCTCTAATCAATTTGTGGTGTGAAATAGCTGACACTCTGGCTAAACTCCTGCTTTATAGCCCTTTTTTAGCTTAATTTTATTATATTTATGCATTTGAGAATCTCAGAAAGTCCTAACAGGAAAAAAAGTGGGCAGGGAGTAGTTTTGAGTAAAGGAGGATATTTTAATTTGCATGCCATGCTCCTGTAGGAGTTTACTAGCTGAAAACTGCATTAAAACCAGAACTTTGCTCAGTATCGTGCAGCCACAGGAAAAATTACATCGAGCATATCTCCAGCCTACAAATGGTTTATTGTTAACATGGCTGTGAGTGTTCTGCCAAAATGAAATCCTGGCCTTTGCTTTGTTGTCACACTTGAGCAGAGGTAGAGCCAGAGGCACAGAGCACCCACAAACCCACAAAACATGTGCTGGACGTGAACTACACAGCTGTGAGACACCAAAACCAAGCCCTGACAGAGCTGAGATCACATCAATAACAGGGGAGAAAGGTGAGTGCGGTGAATTTGGGGTGGCTCCGTGGTGACCTGAACCAGAACCATCACATTGGAATAAATGCATGAAGGAAATAATTCAAATTGTGGAGCTGAACTCCAGCACGAGGACCCCTGAAGTTTGTTGACAATCAGGTCTCTACACCAGATCTCTACACCACCTAGATGTAACTCAGGAACCAGAGAAAAAGCATCAAAATCAGGTGTTAGGGAGGGGTTTTTATGAAAACAAGGAATAAATCATTTTTATCCTGTGTGCCTCTTCACCACGGACATCACTGGAGACTGAAGGGGTTAGTTAAGAGTACATTGTCCTGTTCCTACTGCATTTTAGAAACTGATTTGACATTATAAATGTTAATTATATTAAATTATAATTATAGAGATGGAAAAGGCAAGCTCTCTGGGTGTTTGCAGGCATGTGCATGGAAGGCAGCACCAAGCAAAGAGGCTTTGTGGTGCTCAGATGCCTTTGTTTGCTCTTAATTTGGACAAACATCCAGCCCTTAGAGAAGAGCACATTGGGAATTTCATTTGTAACTCTCAATTAAATTGAATTGTGCAAAGCTTATTTCTATAAATGAGAAAATTAAAACCTTTTGGTTCAAGAAGTACACAGAACTAAGTAAAACTAATGATTTATTGTTCCCAAATTAAAGCCATAAGTGCACACACTACAATTGAACTGTAGTGGTTCTTTGTTCCAACACTTTTATGCTGCTGAAAGATGACAATTTATAATCTTTGAAGGAAGATTTGTCTTAGCTTTAGGTATTTATTGTATAATTAGCCCATCCATGAGCAAACCCACTGCGTGTTAATTCCAATATTCGTCCAATGTGTATTTATCTAGGTCTTGCTCACGTGGCAGGAACATCTATGCAAATTATTCGAGATTAATACAAATTGTTTATTTTCTTTACTTGTCAGTAAATATCATGGAGAAGTTTCTAAACAGTTAGGGGTTTTTTTTCATACTTATTAATGGAACTGTGTGAATCAGGTCCTGGAATTCCAGAGAAATATCAGCTCTGCTGTATTTCAGCCTTTGCCTTGGCTTGTGTTGACACTTGTGTCTCCACAATCCCTTCTGTGCAGTTTTCCTGGCACTAACAATTATCACACAAATAATTTCATTTGCAATGTGTTTTTTTTCCAGATACAATCTTCCTTCAATATAATGGTAACATCAATCCTGTCAGTGCAGACAAGGGAGGCTGTCAACTTTGCCCTTGAAGGAGGACAGAGGGTAAAGGTGCCATTATTACTTTTGAACAGCTCCAAGATCCTTCTTGCCCCTTGCCAAATACTGTTGGCAAAACTCTGATTTTTGCTATAGGTATCAGTCCAGTTTTTCAGAAGTATCCTTGAATGGTTATTTTTGGATTGATTTGCCTTAAGCAGACTGTTGAAACTCATGTCCTGTCATATTGCACAGACAGAAGTTGTATGCTTTAATTCTCACCTTAGATTTTTAATAAGCACTTATTTTTTTGTACTTTTTCACTTTGTGTTTGTGTATTTCTAGATGAAACAAACTCAGTTGCAGTCTGATATTTGATGTGTTTGTTCCAGATGTTTGTGTGAGAACAGAAAAAGTTAAAAGTTAGCATAGCTCAGACACAAAGGCATTGACCTGATTATTTTAGGAAGGTACAAACCACCCGCAATTGCAGTAAAAAATATCTCTGTGCAGCCGAGGCCTTCTTGCTCCTGCTCTGTGTCTGCTCCATTTGTGACTTTTCCCAATGAAAGATAAATTGCAGGAGAACCAGTAAAAAAAACTTGCTGAAAAGCTTTGCAAGAATTGGAATTTTATTATTTGTTATCCTGCATGGTTGGGAAATTCTTCAGAAATTTTAAATACTCTGTGTTGGCAGCATCAGAATAACCTCACTGATGGGTGAGAGTCTGTTGTAATTTACAGTGTGAATTCAGATTTTCAAAGAATTAAGCTGGAAGATAAAAGATTACTCCTGAGCCCAGATTCCTGGAAATGTCCTCCCAGGGTTAAATTAATCTGATCTTGGAACTTGATACCGATGTGAGAGGTGTGTGTGACCCAGAAATGGAGAAAAAGGGGGATTTGTGTTTTTACACCGTGCTTGTTCCTACAACTTCAAGGGCATTCTTACCTTGGAAAAATGTGCCCATATGTGCATGTGCAGCAAGCAGCACAGCAATGGCAGATCTCCAGCAAGGATCACGTGTCTTGTAAGGTCACTTCTCCCAGCACACTGCACATTCCCACTGGGAATGGTGGGAGTAGGACCAGTGGTGAGCTGGGATCCCCCATCCCAGCCAGCCCCTCAGAACTGCTTTTGTGGTAGGTGTGGCACAGAAATGCTGCTTTATTAAACAGCCAAATGAATGACTGAGGGCTGACCTCAGCTGAGGCTTTATCACTGCTGCCCTGCTGGTGAACTCTCAGGCAGAGCTTTTCCATGGAATTCAGCATTTCGTCACTCCTGGCTGGAAAGAGTTAATGCTGCGCTCGGAAGTTGCGCAGAAGCACAGGACCTGTGACTCCTCAGGGAAAGGTTTCCAGTGTAGCACCAAAAGGAATAATTTGTTCAGCTTTTTAGTTGTTTTTTCAAATTTCTTTCTCACTGTAAAGCCATCTTGAATCTCCAGTAAAATGTAAAAGTACTCCCCAAGGGAGAAATACAGTGACCAAGCAGGGGGGTTGCTGCTCCCTGGGCTGTGTTTTTGCAGCTTCCCTAATCTTGACAGCTCTGGTAGCTGCCTCTGGGATAGAAAGAACAAAAAAAATTCAGATCAGTCCATAAAGTTCCTGTTGGTTTGAAAGCAAAACCATCTGCTGGAGCCATGAAGTTTGTTAGGGAGTTCAATAACAGGAAAGCCTGCAGTTGATCAGCTGTGCTCTCCAAAACAGGCAGGAGGATTCAGAGCAGTGAGCCAGGAGATGTGGGGAGCATGGCAACAGCAAAATGGGTCAAAATAATGGTTTCTTTGGTTTCATGTATAAACTTTGAGGAAGAGAAGTGGGTGCTGTGATTTCATATTCAGATTGTACTGTGGATCCTCAGGAAGGTGTGTGTGTTCTTTAACAGGAGTTTGTACTAGACAGACACGTCCCTCAGTTACGGAATTAAGTCTGTCATGGATGTAAGGAAGCAGATGGAGGTGGTTTCTGTATTGTCTGAAAACTGATGGAGACACAGAGCTGAAATTACACCTGGGGCTGTTGAGGCGTGGGTGTGCCCCGGCACAGACTGGGGATTGCAGGGAAAATGGCAGATCATGGGATCACAGGATGGTTTGGGTTGGGAGAGACCTTTAAGGTCTTTTATTCCACCCCTGCCATGGGCAGGGACACCTCCCACTATCCCAGGCTGCTCCAAGCTCTGTCCAGCCTGTCCTGGAACACTTCCAGGGATGTGACAGCCACATCTTCTCTGGGCACCCTGTGCCAGGGGCTCCCCACCCTCACAGGGAGAAATTTCTTCCAAATATATCCCATGGGAAAATCTCGGTGCTTAATTATAGAAGCACAGAATCGTTAAGGTTGGAAAAGACTTCCAAAACCATCAAGTCCAACCCATGCCCGCTAAACCATACCATGAGATGCCATCTCTGCTCGTTGTTTGAACCCTTCCAGGTGACTCTGCCACTTCCCTGGGGAGCCTCTTCCATTGCTTGACCATTCTTTATCAATGAAGAAATTGTTCCTAATATCCAACCTAAGCATCCTTTGTAAGAATATGTCCTAATTTTTCTGGCATTTGGAATAATTCTGGAGTAAGTTGGGCCCTGAGCTGAATATGGGACGTTGCAGGTTTGAGAATATGGACACTCTGTGTTCCAGAGGTGTGAGAAATGACTCAGTAGCTTCAGGTACTGACACACACAACACAGGATGGAAATCCCTTTATTCCATAAAGTGTATGGATTTATGCAAAGCTATTTACTTTACAGAGGCGCCATTCTGTATTTATGGCTACCATTGTGTCTGCTTTGCCATTAAAACTCCAATTATTGGGGCTTTACTACATGGCTGTAAAAATTTGTTGTGGTTGGAAGCTTGACACATAAAAGTCAACCCTGCAATAATATAGTTTTTAAAAACTTTTAAAAACTTTGAGTGATTATAAAATGTGGGAACATAAAAATACTTTGGTATTTTAAGAACTTCAGGTTAAAAGAGGAAGAGTCAGTGGGTTACCCTGGTGGCTGTATGGATACATCCAAGACAAAAAGCAGGAATATTTTCATCCTTTTAATCAATGAAATATTTGATATCAATATTTGATTATCGATATTTGAGTTCTTTCTGTGCTTCTAGAAAATTTGTTGTCACAGATTTAGGAAAACATACATTGTCGTGCCATTAAATTATTAAAAAAGCTTTTTTCTTTTAAATGAAGCATTTAACAATAAATCTGATTTGTGTTTTGTGGGTTTTTTTCCAGTGGTGCCACCGGGGAGCCCTGGGCCCATCACCCGGCACGAGTCCTATGACAGCTTGGCCTCCGACCACAGCGGGCAGGAGGATGAGGAGTGGCTGTCACAGGTATGCTCTGGGGGGCTTCCAGGTCAGGAAAACAGCAGTGGGAGCCACTGGAAGGAAAACTCACAACTTTCCTCCAAGTGGGAAATAAACTTCCAACAGCCAGGGTGTTGCTGTGTGTAAAACTGACTCCACTCCTCAGTGTGGGTATGGATCTGATGGTCCCAAACCAGATAAAGCCCCAACCTTCCTGACACAATCACATCCCTGGGAAGCTCAGGATGAAGTGGGAAGTTTCAGCTGGCAACAGCCAAGTGACCTGCCTCCCTTTTTCTCCTGCATGGTCCTTTTTGGACAGGGATGAAGGAAGTGGGCAGAATGATGGTGCCTTTTGTGTGGTGACATGGGACTCCCTGCTTTGACCATAAAAGTGGGGCAGTAGCTGGTTTACTTCCCTCCTTCCCTGTTTATAATTTCCTACTGAGAATTCCTGTGACTTATGGCCAGAAATAAATACTGTATTGCTTTAGAATTATCATGCTTGGTGGAGGATTTTTATATGAGGTGAAATCTTTGCCTTGTTATCCAATCTTGCTTTGTCTCAGTCAATGAAGCTTCTCTGTAAGAACTCGGTAAATACTTGACCAGTTGGCTCAAAACAGAACCTCAGTGTAAGAATGTAGGTCATGAATAATACACTGAGAATTAGTGCCTGTTAGAAATGAAAGGTTAGAGTTAAATAAATAAATTAAATTTACAAATGCTCTGGATTTGCCAAAGCAATTACAAGGTACCTGATCCATGGAATTCACCCTGACAAATTAGGTGGGTTTCCTCTGGTTTAAGAACAATGTTGTTATGAGAGTGATGCATTAAATGTGTTGCTGGGGTGTATGGCATAAATATGAAATATTTATGGATGGGATTTGCTTCTCCCACTGGTGAATAAATCATACACAGCCTTTTCCTGAAATGAGAGGTTAGGTTTCCACATGGACCTGTCCAGGAGGAGCATTCACTGGGGAATCCAGTCATGTGAATTCATTTACCTGTCTGAGGTTTCAGATGTGGCTGCACATTGAGGTGTCTCATTTGTTTGTGCTGTGTCTGATTTCTCAGAGCACAAAGATGATGAAACTTCTCAATCAAGGAGTCAACAGGAATTGTATCTGAGCTCACTGGGAGCAGATTTCACATGTAGTTTTCCACCTCTCCGGGACTGTTTGGAAGTATTTCCTTATTGTACTGTTGAAACATCAGAAAAAATTGAGATTATGCTAAACTTACATTATGTCTGTTTGTTTATTACTAGTTCTTGGAAGATATAAGATGTCAACAGAACTTAGACTGCTCAAACTTCACCACATCCATCCCTCTAGAAGAGTAAATATATTTATAAAGGGGAAAAAAAATCCCAAGTGATGTCACAGAACACAGATAATTCCGAGAATGCTCCTGGAATGTTTAATTCCTGCTGAGAGCAGAAGTGATGAGAGCCCTTGGAGCACGGCGACGCTGGCGCTCCCCGAGCAAGCCACTTCAGATTAAGCCTAAAGTGCAAGGATGTTTTTCAAAATTAAAGTGTTGTTATCAACAGTAACAGCAAGCAGTGAAAAAACACCGCCCTTCACTTCAACTTTTCAATTAGAACAGTGGGTAATGTGTGCTGTCAGTGGGAAGTAGATACAATATGTTTGTCCTGCACACAACAGGGGAGTGAATAGGAACATCTGGCCATAGCCTCAGTAAAATTGCAGAGGCATCTGTTTACCTCTCGGCTCTGTGACACTGATGGTTTCAAGCTTAAAATACACAGATTACTTTATCTGTGGCCTAATTTATGCTGCTACATAAAAGCTACTTGCCTCAGAAGCGACTGCAGCCAAGCTGAGTTAGGCTGAGCTAAATGCAAAGATGGAAATAGAGCTGCATAGGCTGTGGTTGTTGTCTGACATTAGCAGAGAACTGGCATCATCCAGGGTTTCAAGCTGCTTCCTAAAGAATGAGAATCTCTACTAGTATACATCTATACAAAAATCTGTTTTAATTAATTCCCTCACTAACTTAAATTTCTGCTGTGAAGCTGATTGTTGTTTCAGCAGAAATTGATAGGAACTTCATAGTCTACTTTCTATTTTAAAAGTATGAGTTCGCCAGAGCTTAATATTTTCATTTTGTCTTTCCTTTTTCTGATCTTTAAAAACACTTTTTGATTTTTAGTCTTGTATTGCATGATCTTTACAGCCTTAATGATTCTATTCTCTTGGTTACAGAAGTTGTATGCTTTGTTTACCCTTTTATTTACAGTTTTCCTGATCACAAACATCCTACTTCCGTTGAATTGTCAGAATTTTGGTTCAGTGGATGTGTTTGTGTGGACCCTGTGTGTGGCACATCCATGGTTGTGTTCCTGTGCTGAGCGTGACCTGGGCTCATCCCAGCACTCTTCCCATCGCTCTGGGTTATGGATCTTGTACTTCCCACAAGATGCTCCGTCCCAGCCTTTCCTCACACATGCCAACAGGATTAGGAGCTGTGATTTGCAGTCCAGCTCTCACTGTATCCATGGGAAGCAGTTTAAGCTGTGAACTTGCACAAAGCTGGGACAAGCTCTTCCCTCACTTCCCTCGCACTGCTCGGTATGGGGGATGTCTGGGGGATGTGGGCTCTTGGTTCCTCTCTCTGCTCCATGCAGATTCAGGCAAAAATGTGTTCCCTGTTGGTCACAGCATTTGAGTTTTGGGGTGTATTCCATCATGGCAAGGGGAGGAAAGAACAGGATCAGGTGAAGTGGTGGCCAGGATGAAGCGCTGATCTTCAGAACAATTTAAGGACTGGAGTCCAGTGTCCTGAGGATGGTTGTACATGAGCTTTCCAGTCTCTGCAATGGGCTCTTGTCTTTGGCTAAAGCATCCATTCTCTGGCAGAGACATCCCCAATTTCCCCTTGTTAAACATTCCTCCAAACACTCTGGCTCAGAACACCCTTTTCACTCAAGAGCAGCAGGATTCCAGGAGCCCAGCGTACTGAAGGAACCATTCATTATATGAAGCTGCAGCTCTGTGTTAATCATTGCCCATATCCCCTTCCCACAGGTGGAAATCGTGACTCACACTGGGCCTCATCGACGCCTGTGGATGGGCCCTCAGTTCCAGTTCAAAACCATCCACCCCTCAGGCCAAACCACCGTCATCTCCTCCAGCTCCTCCGTGCTGCAGTCGCACGGGCCCAGCGACACCCCGCAGCCTCTCCTGGACTTTGACACAGATGATCTCGATCTCAACAGCCTCAGGTAAAAATAAAACCCATTTCCCAGCTGACTCACATTTGTTGTGTGCAGAATTTGCCTCCTGCCACGTGTGTAGGACGTGTCACGGTTTTTATCAGGCTTGTCCAGAGCAGAGTCTTGGAAGAATGTGTGGCTCACCAACGAGAAGAATCTGTCCAGGCCAAGCAACTCAGATTCCTTTTGCTGCCCCTTCTTGGGCACATGACAGGGAAAGGTAGCACAAAGTCTGGTGGCCTCGCTCAGTGTCCTCTTGCCTTTCACACTTTCTGTATTGCTTAATAAATTTGTTCTCTCGGATGTGAGTGGCTTCATGCCATGAATTTAGACAGTGGTCAGCGTGTTGGAACAGTAAGTGAACTCCTGAAATGCTTATTTCCTCCCTTGTTTTATTTTTTTCTCCACTCATTTTTTTCCTTCCTTGTTATTCTTTTCCATATATTTAATTCAACTGGTTTTTGGAGATGAGCTGATTTGGAATTGGGGGCAGGGGGTATGCTTAGGGAAGGGAAGGAAGAGCAAAGGTAACTGGGTTTACATTTACTGGTGATTTGTAGAAGAGATTTATGCTCCAAGTGTTTGTGTCCTGCCCAGTAACTCCAGATTTAAAAAGTTTCCACGCTCCTGACTCTGCATGTGATTTGAAGTCCAAAGTTCTGTTTTAGGGACTTGGATTGTTTGGGACTGTGTCTGAAACTCTCAGAAGTAAAGCAAGAGAGAAGGATGATATGATTAATCACATCAAAATGGGCAGATTGTCCTTGGACTGGAAATGCATGGGTTTGAAATGTGTGATTTCTCCTTGTGTGTAATTACTGCCATGAGTAAGGATATGGCTGCCAAATTTATTTTTTAATATATATATGTATTCATGTGCAGAAAGAAAGCAGAAATAAAAAGAAATAATACAGATCTGTGTTACAAAAGGAATCAACAATTACAAATGGATCTTTAAAATGTTGCTGTTGAGGAGAGCAGTGGAGGCTTTTTAGCCAGGTTTGGGTAGGGTGAGCGTTTTCCTTTGAGGCTTCCTGAGAGCTCCCATCTGAGCCATCCTTTGGGAATACCCACTTTGTCCCAGTCTCTGGGTGCAATCTCAGCTGCACCAAGAGAGGGAAAACAGAAGTTTCCAACAGCTTTTAAGCCATTTCACAATTAAATTGCTGCTTGTCCCAGGTGATTCTGGTGGGATTGGGCCCTGCTGAGCGTGGCAAGGTGGTGACTGTGAATTGTCGACCCAGGGAGGAGGTGGAGTCACCCTCCCTGGACATGCTTAAAAACAGACTGGACAAGGCACTCAGTGCTGTAGTTTAGTTGATGAGGAGGTGTCAGGTCGTAGGTTGGACTTGATGATCTTCAAGTTCTTTCCCAGCCTGGTTCACTGTGTGAATTGTGTGGTTGCCAGGATCCAGCCGGTGCGCTCGGAGCCCGTCAGCATGCCGGGGTCACCGCGGCCCGCGGCCGACCGGCGCGGCGTCTCCACGGTCATCGACGCTACTTCAGGTAAGAACATCCTCACTTTCTGTTTCATATTCATCAATCTGGTCTTTTGTTTTGGCTGGTAACATGTGTACTAATCGTTGCCATCAAGGTTGTCCTGATTTTCTGCACCACAGGGTAAGTGCTGTCTCATACAAATACTCAGTCCTGCCATGATGATGATTTTTTCCCCCCCCTTGCCCCTCTTACCCCTCGAATGTGAAGTCACAGCATTGTGGTAAGATCTGGACACACTATTTATGTAAAGTTTAACATGAGCTATAGAATGCTAAAAACTGCCTAAACTAAAAAGCAGAACATTTACAAATACTAACACTGAAATGCTTTTATTAATGAATGCCTAAAGCATAGAATATTACAGTTCCATGTCATTTATAAAGTAGCTTTCATTGAAATGTAATCATAAATGTAATAGATTTCTGTGAACAGTCAGGACAACAGGAGAGTTTATCTAATGTTTGTGTAATAGGCACATTTTCACTGCTCTGCTCTGAAAAGAGTGTGTAGATTTAATACCACAGTGGTTGTGTTAATATCAACAGAGTAATAGATGTACTATAAAGTTCTCTTTTCCTCTCAGTGCTGGGGAATAGCCTGTCTAAAGAAACAAGGGCAGCAGCAGAGCTTTATGTTCCAGTGCAGCTGTACAGCGTCTGAGGGGTCCACACAGCAGGATTTTGTCAAATAAAATCTCTCACAAGTAGAATTATTAAACACACAGCATTAGTCAAACAGTCAAGTCGGAGAGGATTTTAATCTTTAGCGATTTGAAAATCCCTGGAGGCTCCTGATTGGATTGAGGTTAAACTGTAAAAAGAGACTGTAACACATACAGAAATGGGTTTCTGAAGGTTGGTTTAAAGAGAGTTAAAATAAAAGCTCCTGTTTCAGACTCTGTTTGCTGTTTGATATAAATGCTGAGTCCAAGATACTTCATTGTTTGCCAAATGAATTTATTTGGGTATTACAGGATATTTCATATATGTGTTTATAACAGAGTTCAATAGTAACCACATTTACTTTGGATATTGAGAATTGTCCTTATAAATTCCATTTTCAAATATTTAAAAGTTGTTAAATTAATTCCTGTTGGGCTTAGACAAACATCTGGTGCTGGTTACTGAAAGGGAATTTTGTTTGTTTTACTACATGGCAAAGTAATTTTGAAAATAATTGTTCGATACAGAAGAAAATATTAATGCATCAGTTATGATTTTTTTTTCCCTAGTTCATCTATGCTTATTGCTCCTAAAAGGTTCCAAGTTGGAATCACATGAGTGCTTCAGGCTGTGTATGTGACACTTGAGATTCAGAGTGATTAATGGCAGAGCTGTGCCTCACTATCAGCTGATCCAGAGAGAGATATCAGCATTAGCAGGGTGGGGATTTCTCCCTCCTGTGTAGGACCAGTGCCTTCACCTGTAATTCTGAAATGTGACCATTCTATAACTGTAGCACTTCCTAAAGCTGTGTTACTCCATCTACAACAGAAACAATGAACACACAGGACTGTGCCTCTTGAGTTGCTCAGCCTCAAAAGTTGCTGAACAACCTTTTCTGAGGTGTGGATGGGGCTTTAATATGAACTGACTCATGTGACTGTGATGAAGCCTCATTTGTAATGCCTTTAACATGTGTGTCCATGTTAAAATTGCCAAAATCCATTGTATACATTGTTAGGACACTGAAAATATATTTACTGTACAGCAGTGACTCAGTTTGGTTATAACACCTCATAAGTTTCATGTAAACAATACATGGGTTTTGTTAGGGACATGCTGATGGCAGTATTTTATTTACTTCAACCAGAAGGGTTGGGTTGGAATTGATTTTTGATTCAGGGATTTTAGCATCTCTTTGCAGTTTTTGTATTGCCTGATGCTCATTCTTTCCCATGCAGAACTTAGGGGTTCAAATTCTAAACTGTGTGATGGTTTAAGGGTGTGAATTGTTGGAGAGTAAAGGAGACACAAGGAAAATATATACACTGTTTTTTGGGATCTTAAACTGCTCTTGTAACAGCAATGGCCCAGCAATGGAAAGAAGAGTATTTTATGCTTATTTTCTTCTCTTCCCACCTCTGAGATGTGCAGAAAACTCCATTAATCTCAGCTGTGGATGGGGAAGGGTTTGGTTTTAATACCACTCATGTACAGCACTGGGTTTTTGTGTTCCAGTCCACCACTTCAAGTATTCTCATTTCCTGCTCTTCCCACAGCATGCCCTACACGGCTGATGTTCTTTATGGAAAAGACATTTTTAGGTTTGAAGGATTTTTAAGTAGGTCATAAATTTTTCCTGCCTGAGCTGAACCAGGAAGTGATTGTTCAGCTGTGCCCCTGCACTGGAGCCTGTTGCACTTTATGAAGATGCTTATCTGGAGGTTTGATTGCCTGTTGCTTGGAGATCCAACCCGTGTGGCGCCTCTGCTTATCTGACTCATCACTTCTCCTTCCTATCAAAAGACTCCAAGTACATGTTTATCATCTCCCATTATCCTTCCCATTATCCTCAATAGCTTCCTCCCTTCTCCCCCGTTGGTGTTGCATTTAATAAGCAGTTTGTGTGGTTTTTTAAAGCATGGATTTCCTCATGTGTCTGTAAAACTGGGGTGTGCTAAGGACAATCTCATAAGATCACTTGCAAAAGTCTTCATTTAAAAAGTGCAGAACTGTAATGCTGTTATCAATAGTGAAAATTTGCAATGGCATTCTCAAGGTGGATGGCTGAATCTGTAAAGATTACTTGGATATATTTTAAAAATGCATATTACAATATGGTTCTCTCAACTCAAAATTCTCCTAAGACACTCTTCTCTGGTTTATTTTTTTAAGAAAAGTTTTCAAAAGTTCAGTCACCTAAAGCTACTGGACATTTGTCCCTCAATGCACATATTTTAGTCATATGCATCATAGAGAGAATATACCCTCAAGGATTAAATGCACTGTAATTCCAGATGCTATTCCAGACTGGCAGTTGGAAATGTTAAAGGGGGACAGCAATGGGTTTAAATCTTTGTGAGGCAGGAAGGAATTATTATTGGTGATAATGCAGCAGCAGAACCACTGCACAGGTAAGAGCTGCTCACTGTGTGCAGCAAGCAGAGGGTGTTTGTCCCTCCTCCCCAAAGGTGTGCTCAGGCTGTGGCTTGGCTTTGACACAGGTGGGTTAAATCTTAATAAGCCAGGTTCTATTTATGAGCCCAGAAATGAAAGAGAAACCTTAGAGAGTCCAGGCACCTCTCTGAATTTTCATCCTATAACCTGTGGAGTAATGACATACATCATATGTATTCCATAGCTGAAAACCCAAACCTGGTACAACTCTCTGAACAATGAATGATGTAGAAATTAGGGGTGTAGGCAGGTTAGGATATCTGCACAGTCAACTCTGAGCTTTCAGAGCTAGAAAAGCTGTAGGGAAAGGATTTTGCAGCAGTTGCTGGTCAGTGAGTTTGCTCAGAGTGCTGCACTGAGTGTGCACACGAGTGTTTCCCTTCAGCTGCAGCCCAGGTGTGCTCAGTGACTCAGGTGTGCACTCAGTGACTCAGTCCTGCTCATTTAAGAGAAGTGGCTGCATCTGTGAGTCTGTCTATGGAAACCTTGTTTATTCCCTCACACAAAGAGGTTTTGGACACTTACCCATCAGCCAAGTAATGAGTTGGTTGCGTTGCTAGTGGAGGATGAGAACATTGACAGAGGAATTGTCTGATCTCTTTTTTTGCATCAACCTCTTCCATTCCTGCTGGGAGGAGATCACAGAATAGAATCATAAATCTGTTTCTTTATTGCCTAGAATAAATGCAGAAATTGAGTGAGAAGGATTTCAGTGAATGGCATTATTTAACAAATAAAATTAATTTGTAGAAGAAAAAGATCCTGAGGATTCTTTTCCTCATTAGTTGTTTGTGGGGTGGGGGGAACCTTAATGTTCTCAACTGAAACCTGGTGAGTGCTGTGCTCAGGGACACACACACATCATTTTTTAATGAAGATTGTTTATTACTGTTGTATAAAACTCTGACAATACTAAGCTCACTTCTGGTTACTTCAATCAATGCCCACTTAAAATCAGCTTGTAATTTAGTACTTCCCTTTCTTTTGTGTGTGACTGGCTGGTCATGGACAGAGAGCTCTGCCTGCAGAGGGTTTGATGAACAGAAGAATTGACTGGGGCTTTATGGGGGAGGGAGTTGTCCTTTTATTGTTCATCACCACACCTGTGAGGTAGCGACCACGGGACAGATTTTTACTGTCCAGCAATGCTCTCACCTGCAATTTAATAAACACTTCTGCTGTCACACCTTAAACCATCTGAGTTCCTTTCTGTTGTAGGCACGATCAAATATTTATCCCCAAAAGCTGTACACCACAAAGTGCTGCCTCGGAGCAGGCAGATCAGTTATTCAGGTAGTAAAGATGTGTGAATGCAGCTGGCAGATGAAGTCACCAACATTGTGAATTCCCAGGCTGTCCCTGCTGCCACAGGCAATAAATGCCAGGCTGAGCCAGGGCTGGGCTCCCATTCCAGGAGCTCTGGTGTCTGCTCGAGCTGCCCTGCTTGAGTGGAGCCAGCCGGGGCTGCAGGGAGGTGAAATCAATCCGGGCTGCAGTCCTTGACCTGAACCTGTAATTACCTGCATGGGATAAAGGTGGTTTGTTGTGGCAGATAGAGATTGCACTCAGGGCTGCAGAGGATAATGCTGAGCTTTGAAGGCAAGGAAAGGGTTTGGCCCCTGGGCTGTTCTTCACAGCAATTGAGAGGTTTTAATAACGGGCAGAGAACAAGCTGCTCTTTGGGGGCATCACCTGTTCAGTAACACAAAAACACCGACCCAGCACTGCTTGGTTTGTAGTTATTTGTCTTGTCAGCCTATGCTGAAGTTACTGGAATAACTTCTATGCTGATCCTGTTAATATATCTGTTTAAAATGCTTATTATGTTACCTATTTGCATAACATTTTATGCATTATTCCCTGACTAGTGACAGCATGTGGAATACCTCAGGTATCTGTTTCCTCACATGTGCTCTGCTCCCTCTATCCAGCTCATCTGCCTGGCAAAGTGTGTGTCTGTGCATGAGCTGCGTAATGCAAGATTCTGCTACTTAGAATGTTTTCAACTTGATTTATTTCATCTAATTTGAGAAAATGTTATCTGATGATTTTTGAACAGAGCCTTAAGACAGAACTGACTCCAACAGGCTCCAAGATGCCAATGCGGTGTACATGATTACATCTAGAAGCAGCTATGCCCTATAGACTGGGGAGATGTGAGGAGAAATTGAAATGACCTGACACTACTGACTGGGCACTTGCTGCTGGATCATTGCCTGGACTGGGAAAAGACTCAGCTGCAGGGATACATGGAGTAGCATTAATGTCTTGAAACACTGGTGGGTGTTTTCTGGAGGCAGGAGAAGTACACTGGAGAGGACAGGCATGGCAGCAGGGAGTGAAAGACAGCAGAATCATTAGATACTGATTTAATTTTCCACCCTGTGATGATTGTGGGTGGTTTAGTCAGTTCTGGAGGTGGCAGCTCACTCCCCACAGCACAATGTGGTGATGTGGGGTAGCTTTACCCTGCAAGGGACAGAAGAGACTCCTCAGCCCAGTTTGCCTCTGGTACAGTTGAGCAGTCTGACAGTGAGCGAAGCAATTAATCTCTTCTAAGATGGTTGTGTTTGAAACCAAGACTTCATCAGCTTTAAAAACTGGTGCTGCATGCTTCTGATTTACTGATGCAAGTGAAAATCAAAAAGCAGCAATTTCTAGACCCTGCTGTGTTGGGTGGAACTTGACTTTAAGCAGTTGAGGTTCCTGGAGGTGCTGCTCTCCTTGTTCACTTCCCCCGTGTGATTTTTGGCCCAGCCAAAAAAATCTCTGTTGATGTCCCTGAGAGCTGAACTGTGACCTCCCCAGCATTGTAATCAAATCCAGGGGAATGGGGTTTTTCTTCACACAGGAAGATACGTTGCAGTGGGGCCCCCAGGGGCCCCGATAATGGTCACTGGCACAGTGCTGCTGCTCCCAGACAGTTGTTCTCGTGTCACACAACCTGCCTGACGCGTGTACAGGGCTCCATTAGTGCAGCCTCTGCAGCGTCTCACTGCTCAAGTGTGAGCTACTAACTTCCAGCTGGGGAAGCCACCTTCAGTTCATATCAGCTGAAAAACTGCACTGGGCTAGAGCATGGTGCAAGCACAGAAATGCCTTCGGTTTATTTAGGGGGAAAAAAATAATCTTATTATCCTGGGTATTTTGCGCTAGTTAACAAAAACTCATTCTTAATACGAGATTCTTATGTGCCTCTTAATTATCTTTCATTAACAGTTGTTAATGCTGTGTGTAGGTAGCTTTAAAGCTCTGAATAAGTGGGAAGTGTTGATTCTAATCATATCTGACACCACAATCTTCTGTGGAACAACACATGAGCTGAGATTCCCGATGGGCTCCTGTAGGATACAATATTTATTATAGCTGGAGATCTAAGAGCTCCCAGCTACTGTTAAACTTACAAGAGATCCAGAAACCTCAGTGTCTGTACTTGTGTTTTGAGAGATTGCACAGAAATAACACACCACTGGTATTTGCAGGCAGTGTGTGCATTGACATTTCTGCTCTTTTCCTACTCTGCTTAAAGGAAACATTTTGCAAATCTTTATATTTTTATAAGCTTGTAACATATTCTAAGCTCATCTATTAATCTAGACTGCTTGAAATGGCCTTAAAATGGATGTGCAAGTTAAAAGAAGAGTATTTGAATTTTGGAGTCAGTATTTTTTCAGGGAAAGCTTTATTTGTAACCAATTTATAATAGAGACATTTTTATTTAGTGATTTCACTAAATTAGGCTTTATCTTTTAAACTTTTTGCTCACCATTTCCCATATTTGCTTTGAGAACATCTACATGTGCCTCATTATTTCTTGTTGCCACTTTGGCCTGCAGTCTCTGTTAGATGTTAAGGGTTTCAGCCATCAGGATTCTGGTTCTGATCCTCTTGAGGTCCCCCCCTCTTTTCAGGAGTGTTCCAGAACCTCAGCCCTTGTCCTCAGGGCTCTGCAGACCCTTCCTTTTGTCTTTCAGCTTCCTCCTGCTGTAATATTTAATGTAATATCAGCATAAGCACTTATTTTCACCACTGTTAATCCAAAAGGAACAGGTTTTAGCAATTGTCCATTAGAGTGTGATAAGCATGAGTGAGCAGAAGTGTGGATTTGGGGATATGACACATAAAACAGAGCTATTTGGCATGATATATTAGCCAAGCATTTCATCTACTCTAAGGTGGAGTTTAATACCTTGAGGGTGTTGCAATCACAGCCTCCTCACCCTGGCTACTCGCTGGAGTAAAGATGTTCTCTGCTGGGAATAAATATTTATACTAAGTTGAAATACAGCCTGTTGGTGCTTACTTGTGTATATATTTTATTGCCTCGGTGACGTAAGGGGTAAAGAAACAGATGGAAAATATTTTGTTTTCCTTAATTATCCACCACTGTGGGATACCCATTGGCTTGGAGCTGTGGCTCCTCTCCTGCCTTGGACTCCATCCCTGGCACCACCCCAGCCAGATTTTAATAGTTCTTTATCTGCTGCTTGCATTGCTTTTAACTTTCACTTTCTATTACAGGCCAGGCTGAATTGGGTGCTGGTTGCTGCTGCAGCTCCATTTGGAACAGCCAAGGCTGTGCCAGCAAGTGGCTGCTGCAGAGAGCAGGGAGTGGGGGCACGGGGTGAGAGGAACCCCTGATTGTCATCATCCTCCTCCTCAGCTGCTCTGGTGTTCAAGGAGAGTCCTGGAGGTTCCAGCCTCCAGCTGCAGAGCTTTTACTCCTGCTTGGAACAGCCCACCTGGGACTCTCCTCCTTCCAGAAGAAATTCCCAAAAATTCCCAAAAAATGGCTGAAAACACTCCAAACTGCTAAAAAAAAAAAATGGCCTGAATATCATAAAAAACCCCTTAAAAAAGCCCGAAAAAGCCCCCAAAAATCCTGAAAAAATCCCCAAAAATTCTGAAAAATTCCCGGAGTTTCCCAGCGTGCCAGATTCCCGTTTTTCCAGGTGTCTGGGCTGAAGGGAGAGGAGGTGTGGGTGTGGGTACAAGGAATGTGGAGTCTCTGAGGGAGCACATGAAACCAAACACTCCCTGTGCTTGCTGATGCTGCTCCCCTGGTGCAGGTGGAAACGAGCAGGGCACAGGCAGCAAAAGACAGAAAACAGGCTTGGGTTATTGGCATCTTTATCCTGGGAGTCCTCCAGGTGAGAGGTGGTCCCTGAGCCCTGGTGCCCCGAGGCTCTGCTCCGTGCAGGCCTGGAAAATGGAGCAAGGGAAAAGCAAAAGGTGCTGATATGAACAACATATGGGTTTTTCTGGAGTTTGGCCACAGATTTAAGGCCTCAGAGTGGATTCCTGGGGCCTTCGTATCCTATCCCAAAACCAACACAAAAGCCTTTCCAGA